AAGTCACAATCATTTCACTCGTGATAGCAAATTTAAGCGCTTGCGGTAGAGGTTCGGCAAGTGTGGTTTTTAAGTTGTAGGAGCTGCACTGTTGAGCGCCAAACAATCGTTGGATTCGCAAAAATAAGATGAGTGCTTGACGAGGTAAATTAGAAGTGGTAAGTATGAGATCCTTTCAAACCACTTTTCAGAACCGCGATTATGCCAACGCGTTCGGCCTCTGAAGTTTACAAAATCCACCTCTTGAAACTCTTCACGACTGAAAATCATTTTCTTAGTCGAGGAATCGAAGGCAATGTAAATCTTGGAAGAATTTTGATTGGTTTCACCAACATATCTTCTCATACCGCTGAATGTTACGATCTTCCGCAGAGTGCGACGAGCAAGAAAAGAGATCTGAATGGGCTCTTGGCAACTTAGGTCTCAAATACATTCTTTAGTTGAGAAGGAAAGCTGGGGTTCATCGCGCAGAGCTTTCCACGGTGTTCGATGACACTAAAAAGGGCTTCATGTAAAGGTTCCTGGCACATAGCGCTCATGGCAATTATGATCTAGGTTGTGTGTGAAATACGAGGATTGCAAGCTGACTACATTGGTTGATGCAAAGAGTTCGTGATTCCGGCCAGGAAAGGGCAGCGCTAATCCCAGTGCATTCCTTCTGAATGACCTTTCAAATGACAGGTCTCTGCTTGCATTATCTGCTAGGCATATGGAATAACGCTTCCAGGGTCGAGTCAAGGGGCAGAAGAGCTCCGCCCGAGAGGAACCCTCTTCACTCCTACATTTAGGAAGCAGTCGACGCTGTTCAAATTATTTCATGGAGGGTGATCAGCTCAATGAGGTGAGGCAGATGCGAGTGCTGGGCTTCATAATTGATTATAGACTGATCGATTCTCATTGGCCGAGGACAGGCTTTTCCAACTACTGAAGTGCCTTTATACTAGGGACCCCGGCAAACTCATAAGAGATTACAAAATATACGTGCGCCCGATTCTTGAATATGGAACAGAAGTATTCTTCCTTCTCCCTGAAAAGGTCATTGCTCGATTGGAAGCTTACAAGAAAAGAAGGTTCCACATGAAAAGTATTGACTCGGGCATTAGGTTTCCGTTATAAATCCATCCCCAGAGCAACAACAACTATTAAGATGTTTGGAATCGAGTCGCTTCTTGGTAGAAGAAATAAGCAGGATGTTGTTATGCGATATAGAATTAGAATAATCACTGGGAGATCAGTTGTTGATTTAGGGGGAGCTCTCACTTTTCAACCATTAAATACCCTGGGGGATAAATTGGAACCATACTTTCTTAGGTTTAGGTCCAACATTAGAGCCGATTTCTTTGTCAGTCGGACAACTGAATTTCGTTCATTTGCCAAGAAATACGCCCTGCCTAAAGCTTTGTCGCAGTTCAAAAGAGCACTGAAAGAATACCTGGCTTGAGAGCTACATGGTTTGCTTCGTTTTAATTTTGCTTAAGTGGAATTTTCATGAGGTATTAATTCTCTTTTATTGGCTTTTGCTTTGATAAACAGTCTTTCAATAACTGGTTTTCGTTGATATCGATTACTTATGTGATTTATTTTGTTGTAGTAGGCTGTGTTATATGCTCATGTACTGACTGTACATGTTACTAAATAAAATGAATAAAAGAAAATGACTTATAGTAGACCTCGAAAACCCATTGTAAAAAAAAGCAAACAAGATTCGAACAGTAATATATTATTTCTAAATATAGTCTTATCCAGAAATGCAGATGGGTGCATATCCAATCTTCACAATAAATGGAATATATATATGCTTCTTCCTCGCCCGTCGTTCTACCTCAACATCCAGCAGAGAATAAGCATTTAGAATAGAACGTAACAGAAGAGTAGTGAGATAATAGTGGGATACTTTTTGTTGAGAAAGAATTTGTAAATTGTTTGCATTACAACTGCTAGTACTGTTTACCGTCCTCCAACGGCTTCATCAGCTCAGGCAGGCTCTTGATTCCCTCTTGACAGAGCACTTTAGCTTTGTGGCAAAAAAAAAGCCATCAATGTTTAATTGCGGTTTTCCGTTGGAGATGGAATCCCAGGCAGATGACTCACACCTTTCGTAAGATGATTGCCAAATTGGGTAAGGCAAAACCCAACAGCTGCTTTCTTTGTAACAGCACTTCAAAACTTGACACAAAGGTAGTAAGATGTTCAGTAGATGACAGATCGAGGTGCTCGTTAGTCTGTCCAGTGTGGTTCTCACTCTGTTATCGGTCACAGAATAGGTCCAAGCTTTATGAGCTCTCCCTCCATTCCTATTCAGATGCTCCGCCAAGAGCAACTAGATTTTCTGGACCATACTCGGCCGCACTCGCAATACAGATGCGCCTAGCGTCTCTGAAAGCTTCTTGGCAATAATCAGATTGGTTTTTGGATGGATCACCGCTGAATACTAGAGAAATAGTTCTGAAGACTCCATCGTAACAGCTTTCGCTCAATACTCACAGAAAAGCTTTTTCTCAAACCAGGTCTGTTGGTCTACCTGGAAAATTTTCCTGAAGTTCCTCTAAGCTGTTCACTATTGCAGATAACTGCCGTTGAAATTATGTTTTTCCATTGCACTTTAGTGCTCAGCCAGTTAAGACTGGTTTAGTATGGCCAGCATCTGCTCACCAACGGCTTTCACGTACCACGCCAACGCAAACATGCACCACCACACCACAGCATAGGATGGTTACGACGACGGCGCGGCGACAAATAAAAAAAATACAAATAGAGGAAGGGGTTGAGCGCGACTTATCTGTCCGGATTTCCGGCCCAGGACCGGTAGAGACGACCCGATATAAAACGTGAACGAACTTTTGCCATTCGTTGTCTCAACGCCTGCGTCAAACATGCGCAACTCGGCACTAATCGCGGTATTCTGCTGCTTACTCACTTACTGTTTAGCTGAACCGGTAATTTACTATATTTTCTACCTAGCCTATCCCTTATTTTATATAGTCCTACTCATTTCGTAAACAATACACACTACGGTAATGAGCAGTGGAGACTTCAACAGTGGTGCCCAAGTCACACCTTTCGGAGCTAATTTTAGTCTGTGATTCGGTAATCCAAGCTGTAGGAGTCGCCTTATTGACAGAAGAGAGTTCAACTATTCTAATGGCTTCTGTTAGCTAGGCTGCACGAAGCAGGATATCTTTTAGTGGAAGCACTCCCGGGGTAGCTGGATTAGCGAAAGTAGCAAAGATGTGGACAGTCCAAAGTCAATGGAAGAGTTATAAGCACGATGGTATATACATAATGTGATCCATATATGTTGATTGTTATGGTCACTGTTAAGTATGGGAGGCGGACTTGTAAATTATCATTGATTTATAACTCCCTGATGATCCATATATGTTGATTGTTATGGTCACTGTTAAGTATGGGAGGCGGACTTGTAAATTATCATTGATTTATAAGCATTTAGAATAAAGTGCAGACATAGGCAATCATTTCATTCCACCCAATCAGCCATCGAACATTGGTGAAGGGATTAGATCGTCAGATGCCTTGGTGCACCATCTCGAAACTTCTAAACTGGATTGAACCTTTTTCGTTCCTTGTGTCTATTGTCAGTTGGTATTACGAAGGAAAAAACCATTGTAGTTGGTCTGTTTACTCGCATTAGGGACGATCATTTGGTACAAAAAATATAGGAACGAACTTCGGACCATCAGTGAGGGAGTGCACGAGATTTCTTGGTTACTCGCGAGACTATAGCCTTCGTTTTCGAGTCGATTATGGGGAAGAACGAGAAGTATAAGCTGTGAATGACTCTAGCGCGCCATTGAAGATCCCAGATCCCCCCCTCCCCTCCCTCCCTCCCTCGTCACATCATATCACTGGCAG